AAGTAAATACTCATGGTCTCTTAACATTGGTATGAACAATAAGTATTGCTTATTTAATGTAATACAGTAGTAATACGGGTACAGTTTTACTATTTCACAATAATTTAGCTTTCTTTATTCTGTTCAGATAAATACTGGGAATCACTGACATAAAACCTGAACATTTTGTAGGCACAAAACATATGCATTGAAATATTTGAGGAGCTTGCAAACAGTTGTTACGGCCCGTCCACACAGCGGCGTGCGTTGAAGCTTGCTCCATTTTTTGGAATATGAGGAATTGACCTGCGGTGTGTCTCTCCCAGCATACACGCGGTTTGATTGGCTGCATAAACGGGATTTGATTGGCTGACGCTTCCACCGAAGCTTCAGAAGCTTCAAAAGTTGAACATTGCTCAACTTTTGCAGCCTGAAACGCCAGCAAAGCTCCGCTCTGCTTCCCACAATGCAGTTCGGCGAAAAGTGAGGCAAAGTGACGTCACCCCATTGAAAGTGAATGGGCAGAAGCGTTGGAAGATTTTTTTAACGCTGCTGTGTGGACGTACCGTTAGAGCAGGGGTCGGCAACCTTTTTGATATGAAGTGCCATTCTAAAAAAAATGTTTTATCAGCGTGCCGACGATCGTGAATTATCAACGGGGGGGTTTGAAGAGCTCGACGAAAACACTCGTGAAAAGTGATGTTTAAAACTCAGTTAATGGGGCTCATTCACTGGCGCTTCCACAAACAAAAACCAACATAATTGTTACATTCAAATGAAGTAGCCTACATTATTCAAGTTTACATTAACTTTGGATAATAACACGGGAGAAATGAGCGGAAGCGCTCTCTTTTCCTCTCTCCCTCTCTCTCTCTCTCCTGACAGCCTGTCAGTATCTCATGCAGCTCACTGATCCAGTAATGAGTGACAGTGAAGAATAAATATATGTATAACTAGTTCCAAAGGTAGATAAAATAGCTAAGTGTGTTAGGTCTAACTTGTGTGTTTTGCTCCGCTCACCGGTCCGTCACAGCGGGTGGAGCTGCAGGATTTCTGCTTCACACATGTTGCACCACTATTTTATTGTCATTTTCGGACACCTTAAAATACTGCCAGACTGGTGAAGCGATTTTTTTGCGAGCTTGTTTTGCCGCACACAGAGAAAAGTGTCATGTATGTTACGCCTCGCGATCGGCCTTTTTAGAGAGCACCGATCGATCGGCAGAGAGTGAGTATCGGCCGATATCGATCGCCACGCAAAAACTGGGGCATTTTTACAGCTCCTTATGGGTACTGCAATTTGTGAAGTGCTTTCCTCTGTGGTGAAACTATCAGCCCTGCACCACGGAGGAAAGCGGCAGAAAGTCGCCTGGAGTTAAAGAGAGCGGGGCTGCGTTGCGTGCATGGCTTCCTTCTGCAGGTAACGGGGAGACGCGCTCTGGCGGCGGTCTCGTTCAGGATCCGAAAATAAAATAAATATTTTGTACACTTATTCCACTTATTCCTAGTGTGCCACTGGTTACGGTGCCGCGTGCCATTGGTGGCACGCGTGCCAGGGGTTGCCGACCCCTGCGTTAGAGTATATGCTATGCAGGTGGTAGCTGTGAATGTTAGCTACTGTACCTTGAGCAAGTGCCACTTTGCTCTGTGTGAATGATGGCTTGCAGAAGTAAAGAGCTTTGAGGGGTCATAAAGACTGCATAAAGCGTTATATAAATACAGTCCATTTACCATTAAGCTAGTGAAAGCTCAGCTCATTTTACAATTTGTAGCTGTCTACATTTTAGTTTTTTTATAATCTGACAAATGCTCAGTGATAATACCCCATTTGAACCTTTAGAAATTAAAATATACACAGAATTTGTAAATTGAATTACAATTCCTATCACAAAATATTAGTGCATTCGTTTGACAGCTATTATTTCCTCAATCCATATTAAATGCAATACAACGCTCTGTGCTCCCACGCTGTCTCCAGATATGCCAGTTTCCATGAGACAGCCAAGGCGGATGCGGTGCTGGGGTATCTGATTGCCTTCCTGGTACTGCTGGCTACAGTCAAACTGTGGCACCTGCTGAGACTGAACCCAAAGCTGCACATGATCACAGCCACCCTGCAGCGAGCCTGGACTGATATCTCAGGCTTTCTGGTGGTCATGACGATCATGTTCATGGCCTACTCTATTGCTGTGAGCTGTTTCCCACACTATAACATCAACATATCAACATGCAGCTGGAGCCACTGCATTTCTTTCTGTTGTATCAGTGAAATAGAACTTTTCATTCACACAGATTTCTTTTTTTCAGTCTAACCTGATGTATGGCTGGAAGCTTTACTCCTATCGAACTCTGATGGATTCTGCGCAGACCATGGTCAGCCTGCAGCTTGGCATTTTTAACTATGAAGAGGTCAGTATGAGACTATAATAATTGTAGCACAGCAGATTTGGACAGCCGAACCTTCTTCAGTGTATGTCTTCCTTCTGATCCTGCAGGTTCTGGATTACAATCCAGTGCTTGGAGCTTTTCTCATCGGCTCCTGCATTGTGTTCATGACCTTTGTGGTGCTGAACCTGTTCATCTCTGTAATTCTGGTGGCATTCACTCAAGAGCAGATCCATCACAAGGTAACTGACTGAGTCTGACGTATTGTCGTATTGCACACATAGTCTCAAATAATCTATCCATTACAAATTACTTGATACTGATTGAGTTATGCATATTACTCAATGTTCTTCCAGCCATCCGAAGAGGAGGAGATTGTGGACCTGATGTTGATGAAACTCTTCAGTTTGTTTGGACTGAAATCTAAGAAACCAGGTGGCGACGGCCTCTCTGATAGGCCAGTAGTTTCATCTGCTCCACAAAATGGACTCTCCACGATTTCTTCTGGGAATATGTGTGATGGTTGACATGCTTGTACATAATGCTTTGCTTCAGTTTTTGCATTCACTGCTTTATATTTACCAATGCAAGTTTACAAATTATAAATGTCTCTCTACTCTCTCGCTGCTGATCTGTCACTCTGGTAAAAGTAGGAACTGAAGAGGATCCTCTTGTAATGCACTGAGGCACTGTATTTAGCCTATAGAATATGTTGTTAAGCTAATGCATTTTTGGTTTTGTGACAAATTCTTGTACAATATGATTTATTCCATAAAATATTCCATCATGGATATATATTGAAACATTATATTTAAATAAATCTAAGTAATCTATACCAGTGCTCAATCCCTATTATGAGTAAGAGATATATCTTACAACCTAGCACTCACAAACAAAAGGTGGCTGCTTAAAACAGAAATGATACAAACATTTAAGTTCAGGAATACAATGCCACTACCTTTAGGTGTTATCAGATTCAACAAGACACCATTTAGCTGTATGTATATAGTCAAAATAGATATTAATGTGTAATATGATCTAGAGATCTGTGAACCATAAACATTACTAAGCACTTGATATTTATTGGAAGGTGTGGTTGAATGACCTTTTACCATTTCAGTCTGTTGCTTCTGTACCTGTGGCGTTTAATTGCAATGCTTTACTATTATGAAGTATGTCCAATTATCATTATCATCCAATATCAACCATTGTTGTTGATCTTGTTTGCATGTGATTTTTGATGAACATACGCTGTAAATAGAAAAAAGGTCGAATGACCATACAATTCCAGCTGCAACACTATGTGGTAAAGTGCTGGACACTGTGCATAGATTCAAAAAGTGTTGGACATACAACATTGCAGATCAATAATTCAGAAAAATTATATATTCAAATATACATACATTTGATAATATGTGTTGTTGTTGCACAGAACATATAAATCCTGCAAATAAAATAAACCGTTATACAAGTAAGTAAGATGTGAAGTAGAGAAATAAGTTAATGCAGGTGAAGTTAAAATAAAGGAAATAACATGCTATATAATTAAAAAGGAAGCAAAGTAAAGAGGTAATCTCATATGGGGTAGATAGAATGCCAATGACAAAAACAGACTCTTACATTTAAACAGTGGTGGAAGAAGTACACAGATTTTTTACTTGAGTAAAATGAGCAATACTACATTTTAAAAGTACTGTTACAAGTAAAAGTCCTGCATTCAAAATCGTACTTACTGTAAGTAAAAGTACAAAAGTATCGGCATCAAAATATACTTAAAATACAAAAATTAAAAGTACTCCCTATGTGTAATGGCCTATGTCAGTATACTGTATCATAAACTGTATATTGACTTAGTGGGTTACCATTCTGATTATTCATGTATTTTTATCACAGCTGGTAAATATATAGCTAATTTGGATAACTTGATATACTGCTGCTGGATATCTTAACCTATGAATATATGCTAAAGTTTATTTAATAATGTATTTAGATTGTTTTGTTTTAGCTAATCATCTAAACCTAAAAAGTAACTATTAACAAGTAAAATAAATGTAATTAAGTAAAAAGTACAATATTGATTTCTAAAATGTAGTACAGTAGAAGTATAAAGTAGCATAAACTGAGCATATACTCAGGTAAAGTACAAGTAACAAAAAATTGTACTTAAGTACAGTACTTGAGTAAATGTACTTTGTTACTATCCATCACTGCATTTAAAACCGGTAACATATAGGGAAATTCATCTAAACATATTAAAATAATTAAAAAAATATTTATTTTAAGAAATAAAATGCTGATTAAATAAGTAATGAGGATTATTAAAATTCATGATGCTTCATCATAGTTATCTTTTACCTATACATAATCCCGACGTGGTTTTTACGTATTGCGTCAGATGTGTGGGCGTAGCTCCCTGTCTGCTGACAACAACACGCGTCGTGGGCGGACCTAGGGGGGGATTCACGAGCGAAGTGACAGCAGAGACGGTCTACCAGCCACAGCGACAGGATCAACTTAGTCACTGCAGTTTTCTGAACACAAAGTTGAAGGTTTCTGGCAGTCAGAGAGACAACAATATCGCCCAGCGACGCTATCTGACTTGTGGGTGTCCGGTTTCCTCAGTCTGAGGGATTGCAATGCCCTCTGACTTTATCTCCCTTTTCAGCGGGGACCTCGACCTGAATTCTCCCAGATCCTTGTACTCAAAAGGTAAGAACAGCTTTTTTCATATTACTCTCTTCTGGGTTTTAGCTCTAGTTTAAGTGCCCACTTTATTTTAAGTGTGTGAATGTGTGTGTAACTTACTTACCTACCTGGTGGTAACTGTTCATGGGGGGGGCGGTCAACCCCCTCAGAGTCATTCATCTATAAACTGCCTCCTGCCACATGCCTGCTGATAAAAGTTCTGTTTTAACTTTTTGAGCGCCTACAAATATGCATAATGCGTCCTTCAGCTTGTACTCTTGGAGGTTTCTTGGGACAAGGTGAAGGTGTCTTTTTTTTTTTTTTTTTTTTTTTTTTATAAACTGGAGCCCTCAGCAGCTGCATGCACACCGGTCAGACCAGTTTACCTTTTCTCCGCCAGCTAAAAAGCACTCTCTATTTTCTGTGGGTTATGTGAATAGGCCATCGGTGCGATACATTCTTTAGTGCATGCTAAATTAGACAAGAAAGCAGAGTTCTCCTGCTCGTCACATCGTGCCAAACATACCAATATCCCAGGATGCATCACGTGTACGATTTTGACACTCAGGAGACGGGCCGTATTTGATCTGACTTTTACCAGTAGTATTTTAAGACCATAGTAATTGTACTTTTACTTAAGTAAAGGACCTGAGTATTTCTTCGACCAATGTTGATACATACTCTACTATAGTGCAACTTAAAAATGTTATTAATTAAAAACAGTTATGACACCATATTGCACACATTAAGTCCTACCACCAAGAGTTTTGTAAATTATTCAGATAATGCCTAATAACCTTTTACAATAAAAAAAGAGAATAGCCTATTTGTATTCTCCTTTCATTAAACGAAGTTGTCATGTTTTTTCTGACTGTATTTACCTCCAAATGTATATCCTCTCTATATTCACAGATGATGCCTTACCATCAGGGGTTTAATTTGAAAGATAATTCAGATTTTGCCCAATAACCTTGTTGAATATAGATCATTTCCTCTCTCTTAAGATATGACAAGTCACTGACATTTGTTAATGCTTTTTTATTTGACATTTAGCAGAATAAAGTCAAGAGGCAGGTTTTATTTGCTGTCTTTCATCCTGGTTCTGCCACAAATGAACAGCCTGCAGGCCAGCTACCTTTCTTCTATTTTGACTTGTTGTCCAATGCTTTCTTCATGATGGACTGCCTTCCTCCCGGCTGGTTTGCAAAGAAGTTTACCTCTGAGCAATGTCCTCTTTTTTCAGCATCTGCTTAAGTGAGGACTTCTCCTCCTCTGCTCTTTCCAGTACAGCCATCGTCTCTGCGTTCAGCTTCTGCAGCTCAATCAGTGTGAGGTTGGAGGCTTTGATTTTCTGAAGTTCCTCCTCCACTATCACCTCATGCCTTTCTTTAAGCGCCTCACTCGTGCAGAGTTTGGCTTTGAGCTCCTCATGTTCACAGCGGAGAGCCTCTTGTACCTCACTGTGTTTACCAGCCTGCTCCTCCAGGGTTTTCTGGGTAGTAGCTTCTGCCTTCTTCTCATTGCCTGGTCTTATAACTTCCAGGTCTGTCTGGGAGGCCGTTGTGCTTTGAGGTCGGAGCCTCTTCACACCAATCTGCATCAGAGTTGCTGTTTGGCTGCTGCATCTTTTTTCATTTTCTTTCCTTTACATTATAACAATGGGAAAAGTACAAGACAAAGATGTCTCCGAAGCTTTTTTTATACATCTATTTAGTTAGATGAAGAAATTGTTTTTTGCATGCAGTATCTAGTATCCAGTATCTACATTAATCAAATCAACGTAGCAGCTGGAGTTTTGAAGCTACTATCTTATGTCCTTTTCTTTTCGTTAAATAAAATGTAATACCTTGTACTGGCCTTGTGACCGAGCTGATGTATGCACAGCGATTTTATTTACTTGACTATGTATTGATTTATTCAGTTTTACTTGTGACTAGGGCTGTGCGATTATGGCAAAAATCATAATCACGATTATTTTGGTCAATAATTGATATCACGATTATTAACTACGATTATTCATTGACTTTGAAAACATCCATTTATTGAACTTTAAAACAAATACAAATAATAATTTGAACAGTATCTTTTTAACTGTTGATTACCCTGAATGTATAATTCAACTGAAAAACTTTAAATAAATAATATCAAAATAATAAATACCAATAAACAAGATCAACAAATATTTTGGAGCGCACTTCCACCAGCTACTAATCATATATAAATATGATAAATACAAATAAATTAGACCAAAATAAATTAGATCAAATATGTTGCAGTGCACGGTCACAACCTAGCAAAGCAAAATAATCGTTCTTTTCGATTATGTTGTTTTCGTAATTGTGGCAGGCCAAATCGTAATTGCGATTAAAATACGATTAATTGCACCGCCCTACTTGTGACTCATCAGAAAGTTGTACTGTAGACCCTTATCATTTCTTGTGCACCACATAATTCAGCTGAAATTCCTTTTGTTAAATAGTTTAGCCTACATTGTTTGATTAATAATCACACTATTGTGTATTTGTGTCAGCACAGTCGACTCGGCTGTGTGTAAGAGGCAAAGTGAGTTTTACATCTTGCCGACAAAGCCAACTCTCACCTTTTATTCTTTGAGATTTGGTTGAAAAAAAAATAACCCCTTCATCCATTTAATTCTTAAAATCATTATTACTGTCACACCCAGATACTAAAGGAAGAATTCTCGATTCAAACTTAATATAATTAGATTTTTTTGTCAGTTTTCAGAAGCTCCATTGGACAGCCCAACATGATGAGGAATACATATTTTTTGCAATCGGGTAGTTTAGGGAATTCCAAGGAAAAACTGTAAAATGGCACTCGGGACAGGAATGCTGGTCACACTACCTTTTGTGGTGGGTAAAGGACATCGGGTTAATGAACGTCTTAAAATGTCTTCCTACCAGTTTCACATCAAAGGTAAAGATTGTTATGGCTTTCCCATAAATTCTATCAATCCTGGTTAACAATTATAAGACTCAAGATCTCAACATAGTTTTGTTTTTTCAAAGTCCGGTCAATCATTAACCCCCTGGCTGCCCTGTGTGTAAACCTGGGCTTAAATAGCACTCTATTAATATTGACTCTGCTGTGTTAAGCAAACTTAGCGGCATGCGCTTAAAAATACTTGATTGCTTTGAAAGCTTGTTGATATCTGATGATGAAAGAAAAGATACTGTAGAGGGAAAACTCTGAAAATAAAGAAACGTGTATTCAGAGTTTATTAATCTGCTGTGGCATTGGGTTATAGTCTGCTTTAAACAAACCTACATATGGACTCTGAACTCAAATCTGTTCTTACAACAAAAAAGTATACATATATTCTCTCTTACTGACGTTACTTACATTGATAACTGACACATTTAACTGTATTATTTTTACATTACAGTGTCTTCACCTTTTTTTAATCAACCCCAACATCTTTCTGATACTTCAGATTATAACTTTTTCTCAGTTATTCTGTGTTATCAGCTGTCACAGAGGAAGCGACCTCATGACCAGGCTTGACATTTACGTTCAGTAAATCAGTTAATAGACACCAATATGAGTCCCATAAGAATGGATCAAATAAGGTCAGATACTATCTGTAGGAGAATCTACTGTTAATCTTCATACTGGCAATAAAGCCTACCTCAAAACTCAGAGGATCCTTAATATTAACTCCTTGGTTGTGGCCCCTCAGGCTCCTCGGGGTGTCCGAATGTTGCAAAGTGTGTGTGCTGTACATTGTTTCAACTGGTGCTCAGGTGCTAAGCCCAGGAGAATAGTCAAATGTGTATTATGGCGCAATAACTTTTTTGTTAACCTGTTTCCTTTTTGGTTCATTCCCTCATTCGTTCCCTGCTCCTGTAGCATTTTATTTCATCAAGTTTTGAGATGGAGTCTCCAGTCCAGTATGGTAATGTTATCAACATTTTAACAAAGCCTCATACAGCTGAATTCTTGATGCATCTAAAGAAGGACAACATTTGAGTGTGAATATGATACGGATCCTTTCGTGCACTCCACACATAAGGATTTATTATTGTATTTAAGTCTTCTTAGTTTAATCCTGCAGTATGTTGTTTGTGAATTTGTGACGGCATATCAGTTACAATAAAAAAAACATGTTATTATTTATTGAGTTGAAGGTAAAACATAAATAGTGATACTCGATGTGTATATCTAGTATTCAGGTGTGGGGTAAGGTGCTGATAGATTGAATGTGCGTGTGTTTGTGATGCAAATAACTCACAACTTACTTAACTTCTTCTAAATCTCTTTGATGAATCATTAACACTCGACAAACATCAGAAAAAAGACTAATCAGGCTCAGGTCATAATATCACCTCCTCTGGTATTTACTGCACACTTGTGACTTTGTTTTGGCCGCGGCAAATCAATACATGAGTAGTTTTACCTGTTGAAGCTGTACCACTGAAGTGTCAATTGTATGTTAATTGGGACATTTACTCAAAAGCATTGCATTATTTACCAAATTCTTGCATCTTTAGTTCTTTCATTTGTTAATAAAATGTCATATGTAGATACGCTCCAACAAATGTTGCCGTGGTAAAAGTATTAGAAATGTGTACATATTCCCCCAAATCATTCATTATAATAAAAATATCAACATAGTGTAAAATAAATTGTTAAATATTCTGGGAAAACACCACACATTTTAGAGTTGATTTCAAAGCCATATGATAATATCTTGATACTCGTACTGCTATTTTTGTGCTATTATTAATACATTTTTCTTCTAAATGTATCGACGTTTTTTGCTTTACCAGAAGAGACTTATCATCCTTGGACAACATATGTTGAACATGCAGTGTGGAACAGTGTTTTTCGTACACTATCACCTATATTCCACACTTTGATTGATTTTATTATCTGTAATGAAGTTATCAGCAAACCCATAAAACCTCTTAAATACTGCTAGTGCGTGGCCCAGTTTATCGTCTTCACCAAACACACTCTTTTCCTGAGAGGTGCAGATCAACTTTTCCTGCTTGGCCTATTTT